GCTTTCTGTCGAGTACAAGCGCCCTATAGCAAAAACCTCTCCAAAAAAAAAAAAAAGTTTTTTATATAATTGTTTACACTAAGGATTTGTCAATTATTTATGCTACACCTATTTCTCATCAGTCTGTGGTTTATCATTTTAGTCTCTTTATGATAACATTTAATGAAAATAAATTAATTTTAGTGTAAGAAAATTTATCAATTTTCTTTATGGTTTTTGCATCTTCTGTCTGAGAGAACCTTCCTTACCTCAAAGTCACTTTGAATTTCCTATACTGCTTGCTAACTTTTTTTTTTAAAGAGAGATATTTTTGCTATAGGGCATGTGTGCATGCCTGAGAGACAGAAAATAAAAGTCACTTGCTGGAGCGGATGGCCACACCATAATCCCTTCTCCTCCATTCTTCTCTCGAGATTTTGGGCACACACGTGTGCGCACCCGGCGTGAGTTTTAAAGCGCCAGTTCCAGGACTCGAACCACGGTTGACTACATGGGAGTCCAGTGATGTAACTATTATGCCATCTGCTGGTACCTGCCTGCTAAAATTTTAACAGTTTTGCCTTTTCACATGATTTTTAATCTGTCTGAACTGATTCTTATTATGGTGTGGGATAGAAATGCAGTATCGTTTCCCCGTGTATAGATAACTTCTGACTAGGTCATCTTTTTTCACTAATTAGCAACGTCTACTCTATCATTAATCATATTTCCATATGCGTGGGTCTGTTTCTGGGCTCCCCCTTTGACAAAGACTTTCTTAATGTTCTTTGATAAGACTTGACAATTTTCTTCACAAATGGCTATACATCTTCTGTTAGATTTATTCTTTAAGTGTTTTGATTTTTTTTTTTTTTGGAGAGGTTTTTTTTCTATAGGGTGCCTGTGCTCGCCAGAAAGACAGAGAGAGACAGACAGAAAGCGAGAAATCACCTCCCGGGAGGATGGCCACGCCGCAATCCCTTCTCCTCCATTCTCCTCTCGGGATCCTGGGCATGCACATGCGCCTGGTGTGAGTTTAAGCCACCGGGTCCAGGACTCAAATCACAGTCAACAACATGGGAGTTCAGCCACATAAGCCATTACACTAACTGCTGGTCCCCAAGTGTTTTGATTTTTTTAAACCATTGTAATAGTTTCTTTCAACTATATAGATACAGTTAAATAAGGTTCAAATCAGGCACAACTAATCCATGCTGTTAGTAATTAAGGTAGCCGTTGCCCTTGCTCAGAGTAATGAAAGGAAGGCGACAGGAGCTCATTCTGAGTACTGGTTGTGTTCTCTCTGAGCCCGAGTTACATGGGTGTGCTAAGTTTGTGAGAACTTGGCATGCTTTACAACTCGGAACTGTGTATTTATTTCTTATACATTGACAAGCAGCTTCGTGTTTCATTTTCTAATTGAATGCTTCTAGTATATAGAAATTGAGTATTTTTATATTAAATTTATTTGTAACCACTTTGCTAAACTTATTGATCCTAATAATTTATATCTAGGTTCATGTGAATTTTTAAATCTAGATAATTGCATCATCTGTGAATTATCTTTGTACCCTATTCATCAGAATTTAAAGCTTCATGAAAGCAGAGTTTTTTGTTTTGTTTGGTTCCATATCCTCAGGATCTGAAACATGGTGACACATAGTAGATACTCCATAGATATGAAGTGATTTCAAAGAGTTTATGAAAAAATGGAATTAAAGCATGAGTTTATTTTGGTACAAAATATTTGAAATCTATGCATAGCTTTTTCATAATATGCATGTCCCATGAACTTAACTAAGAAGATATAACAATTATAAATATTTATGTACTCAACATCAGAACACCCAAATTCATGAAACTAAGACTACTAGGTCTAAAGAGAGAGAGAGATTGCAACACACTAATTGTTGGGGATTTCAACACCCCACTCTCACCACTGGACAGATCATTTACACAAAAAATAAGCAAAGAGACACAGAAGTGAAATGATACCGTAAACTAAATGGATCTGACAGACATTTATAGAACATTTCACCCAACAATTACAAAATACATTTTTCTCAGTCCCACATGGAACACTTCTCCCTTTATGAATGTAGAATAATAGAGATCATATACAGCATTTTTTCTGACCATAATAGAATTAAGCTTGAAATCAACAACAGGAAGAGCTTTAAAAATCCACAAGTATCTAGAAACTAAACAATTTACTCTTGAATGACTTTGAAACTGCTGAAGAAAGTAGAGACTCCCAGGTCTCAATGGCTTCACTTCTGAATTCTACAAAACTTTTAAAGAAGAATCAACACCAATTATCCTCAAACTATTTCTAAAGATTCAAATGGAAGAAACCCTACCAAATTCATTATGAAGCCTCCATCACCTTGATACCAAAAGCAGACAAGGACATAATGAGAGACAGATAAAAATAGATAAACCAATATCCCTGGTGAATAGACCCGCAAAAATCCTCAACAAAATACTAGCAACTTGAATCCAATGGAACATTAAAAAGATTATACACTATGACCGAACAGACTTTATCCTAGGGATGCAAGGATGGTTCAACATATGCAAAACAATAAATGTAATACATCATCACATTAACACAGGAGAAAATAAAAGCCATATGATCATGTCAACTGATGCAGGCAAAGCATTTGATAAAATACAAATATCCTTTTATGATTATGACTCTCAACAAAATAGGTATAGAAGGTACATTTCTGAACTCAAAGAAGAAGCCATATATAGCATATGGAGAAGTTATGTACAGCAAACACATAACTAATATTGTACTGAATGGGGAAGAGCTGGAAGCTTTCCTACTAAAAACTGAAACAAGACAAGGTTGTCTATCGTCTCCACTCCTTTTCAGCATAGTACTAGAAGTTGAACCCAATATAAATAGACAAGAGAGTAATATAAAATAGGAAAGGAAGAAGTTAAACCATCCCTTTTTGAAATGAATCACAAAGCATCCATAAAAAGAACTCCTAAGAGTGATGAATGAATTCAGTAAAGTTGCTGTATACAAAATCAACCCTACTCTTGGACATTAACTCACAGGACAGGAAACCATTCTGTCAGAGAGATACTTGTACATCCATGTTTACCACAACATTATTCACAAGAAATAAAACATGGAGTCAACCAACAACGGATGACTGGATTAAGAAAATGGACCCGGACCCGGTGGCTTAAAACTCACACCGGGTGTGTGTGCATGAGTGCCCAGGATCCCGAGAGGAGAATGGAGGAGAGGGGACTGCGGCGTGACCATCCCTCCTGGGGGGTGATTTCTCGCTTTCTGTCTCTTATGTCTCTCTCTGTCTGTCTGGCAAGCGCATGCGCCCTATAGTGAAAATCTCTCCAAAAAAAAAAAAAAAAAGATACACGAAGTTTTAGAAATGCATAAGTTCTGGGGCCAACAGGTGACATACACAATGGCTACTACTCAGCCTCAAAGAACAGTGAAATCCTGTCATTCAATACAAAGTGAATAAATCTAGAAGATTTAGTGCCAGACTATGAAAGACAAATAAGTCATTTAACATATACTGAATATCTGTGCTCTAGGGCAGATATTGTAAAGCTTCAAAGACACAGAGCAGACAGGAAAACTTTAGATACCAGAGAGAGCACAGGGGATGAGGTGGGGTGGGGAAAAACGTTTAACAGACAAAAGAAGTATGTAAACAAGACAAATAGGTTATGGAATAGTACTACCGCAACAAAGTTTAAAAAGGGCATTGCTAATTGTATCTATGTATCAAACACACACACACACACACACACACACACACACAACTAGACTGAAAATTGAAGGTGCATGACACAATGTAACAGTATTTTTTGAGAATGATGAATATGAGAATGTCCTTGATTTGATCATCACACACTGTATGCTTGCTTTTAAAACCACAAATATATTCAATAATTGAATGTAAATAAGAAATTATAATAAATAAAAAATTTCAAGAAGACTTATAATAGTAAGTTTTCAATATCTATGCTCAATTGAAAGAACATATGCAAACACACTAGGCTGACAGTGTAGTTTCACAGTCTCATAGTCAACATGGAACAATTTGTAATGGAGAAATTTTTAATGTTACCTTAGTCATAAGGTAATAATGTGATATGGATGAGTATGACCTTATCAATTGTGGAGGGTTATTTAATTATATGACTGTTGAAAAATTAAGAGAATAAGGCAGATGAGTTTAAACATGGGAAATCAGGTATTTCTGAATGAAATATTACAAAACTAATATTAAAAAGACCCCAACAGGGTAGGGAAAATTGATAAAGGATGGACACAGGCAGCTGAATCAAAAGATACACGAAGTTTGGGAACCAGCCGTTAGCGTAATGACTATGTCGCTGGACTCCCACGTAGTCGACCGCTGTTCGCGTCCCGGACCCGGTGGCTTAAAACTCACACCGGGTGTGTGTGCATGCGTGCCCAGGACCCCGAGAGGAGAATGGAGGAGAGGGGCCTGCGGTGTGACCATCCCTCCTGGGGGGTGATTTCTCGCTTTCTGTCTCTTATGTCTCTCTCTGTCTGTCTGGCGAGTGCATGCGCCCTATAGTGAAAATCTCTCAAAAAAAAAAAAAAGATACACGAAGTTTTAGAAATGCGTAAGTTCTGGGGCCAACAGGTGACATAGTGGTTAAGGTACTGAACTCCCACATGTCCAACCAAAGTTCAAGTCCTGGACCCAGAAGCTTAAGTGCGTGCCAAAAATCCTGAGAGGAGAAGGGGGAAGAAAGGATTGCAGCAGGGCCATCCCTCTGTGGGGGAGGTGATTTTTCACCTTCTCTCTCTTTGTCTCTCTCAGTCTCTCTGGTGAGTATACAGCCCTTATAGCAAAAATCTCTCTTAAAAACAGAAAAAGAAATGTGTAAGTTCAGTACTCAGACTTGTGTGAGCAAAGGCCTCTGTGCAGAAGCCACAGAGAAGAGATGAAGACAAGCAAATGGCTGTTTGCACTAATAATGAAAGTAACATGAACCAGAGCAACTAGTGGGGCTGTTATAAACATGATAATGGGCAAAAATAGTGAAAATGATTAACCAATGTCAGTGGAATGTTGGTAAAATAGGTACACCTATATGTCATTACTGGTATTATAAATCAGTTATTTATAATATCTTTTTAAAAATAAATTATTAATTTATTCATTCATTTATTTGAATTTGATCAGAGAGAGACACATAGAGATAGAGAAAGAAAGAGGGAAAGTGAGAAAGCAATGGGACCAGCAGTTGTGAGTGGGTGCCCAAGATCCTGAGAGGAGAATGGAGGAGAAGGGATTGTGGCATGGCCAGCCCCCCACCTCGGGGGTGTGATTTCTCGCTTTCTGTCTCTCTGTTTCTCTCTGTCTTTCTGGCAAGTGCATGAACCCTATAGAAAAAACCTCTCCCCCCCCCAAAAAAAAAAAACCCAAACCCAAACCAAAACAAAAACAAGAAAGTGAGAAAGCAAGTCACCAGGTCCGGGACTCGAACTATGGTCAACCATGTGGGAATGTCTAGCACTTAACCATCACGCCATCTACTGGCCCCTATAATATCTTTTTATAAGGTAAATCCACTTTGTGTACATGTTACACCAAAGCAGTCCACAATAAAAAGTTAATCTATCTAGGTGTGGTGGTTAAGGGCACTGGACTCCCACATGGCCGACCGCGGTTTGCGTCCCAGACCTGGTAGCTTGCTTTCTCACTCTCTTTCTCTCTCTCTTGCTCTCACTCTATTCTCCTCTGGTCAAATTAAAATGAGTAAATAAATAAATCAAGTTAAATAAAATATTTTTTAAAAAGTAATCTATCTAAAAATGTCCATTGTACTATTATTCATAATGGCCAAAGAAAGAAAAGAAATGAAGAGAACTAAAAAAAAAAAAAATCAATCCAAATGTCCTACAGTTGGAAAATGGCTAAGTGAAAAGTGGGGTTCTATGTGATCATTATAAATAATAGGTGAACAACAAAATACACAGATAAAATTATAACTACAAAATATATGTTTACATAGATAGAAAAGAACTCAAAGTAACAAAACACCTTGGTGTTTTTAGAAAATGAGATTTTCTTCCGTGAAAATGTATATGTAGATAATAAAAATTAAGTAAAATTTTAAAAAGATAGAAATTAAAACAAAAAAACTACATACCAAGACTTTGGGAAATCTTTTTCTTAAGCATATATACCCAATCCATTTCAGTATTATTATGGTGCTTATGAAGACCACTGCTATCAAAAATACAGTAATTATTCCTCCTATTTTGGCAGATTCTGATGATTCTGTTGATGAAAAATGAAATAATTTTATTTCAAAAGAAAACCAATAAGCAATCATAGTTGGGAATAAGTGTACGTTGGTTTTGTTAGATGATATCAAGGAACTGAAAGTTTGGGAAAGTTTTATATTGTTAAATACCAAAGAGTGGAGACTAATTTACGTGTGTGTGTGTGTGTGTGTGTGTGTGTGTGTTTAAGGTTTTGCCATAGGGTGTGTGTACTTGCCAAGAGAAGAGAGAGAGTGAGAGGAAAAGTGAGAAATCACCCCCCCCGGGGGGGGGGATGGCCACACCACAATCCCTTCTTCTCCGTTATCCTCCAAGGATTTTGGGCATGCATGCACACACATCTGGTGTGATTTTTAAGCCGCCAGGTCCTGGAATTGAACAACAGTCGACCATGTGGGAATCTTGCACCTTAACCACTATATTACTTGCTGGCCCTATTCACATGTGTATTTTTAAAATAATAAAGTAGAGTTAGCTTTTAAAAGCAAAATTTCTTTCCGTTTATGTTCCATAACTGCACTGTCCAACATAGTAGCCATTAATGTGGTTATTTAGATTTAAATGATGTAAACTGAATAGAATCGAAAGTTCAGTTTCTCGGTGACACAATAATCACACTCTACCGTGCACTGCAGGCAGGAAAAGGCGGGGAAAGGAGAGCCTTTCTGTCTCTCTGTCTCTTGGAAACACCAATGGGGTTGTTCTGAGACGGGGCTTTGGCCACACCAGGGCACCTTATTAGGGATCAGCAAAACTTAGTATAACTTGCCCTAGTAGGAGTTCCCATTAGTTCCTCACTAGAGTTCTTTTTAGGAAATTCAACTTTCTGACTGAAAATAGCTTCTATCCAGAAGTCCAACTTCTGGAAGAAGAAGAAAATAGCTTCTATCGAGAAGTGGAAGAAATCAGCAGTTTTGTAATTTAGGTTCTCTTAAATTTCTGTAAAGACCTTTAATAATAGTAATTTTATAACTTGGAGGCTTAGGTAAAATAAGCACAGGAGCAAAAAAAGACATTAAGAATAGATTACATACTTTAAATCTTTTGGAAGATTAAGGAATGACCAGAAAAACACTCAGAAAAGACCCTGCACTGTTAGATAGCAATCTCATTCCCATTAAGACGGAATGATCCTTTGTGGCAGGATAGTGACAGTTCTAGAATCTGATCCAGCCACGGAAGCACACTTTTAATCCAAATCCTTACCTGTGCAAAGTTTAAATTTTTGTAAAGGATACTGTAAACCAGAATAACCTGATACTGTGATTCTGACTCCTTACCCATCCAGTTTATTTATTTATTTTTTTTTTTTGAGAGGTTTTTGCTATAGGGCCTGTGCACTTGCCAGAGAGACAGAAAGTGAGAACTCCCCCCCCCCCCAGGGCAGATGGCTACACTGCAATCCCTTTTCTTCCACTCTCCTCTTGGAATCTTGGGCACGCATGCACATGTGCCTGGTGTGAGTTTTAAGCTGCCAGGTCCAGAATTCAAACAGCAGTCAACTATGTGGGAGTCGAGTGATATAACCATTATGCCACCTGCTGGTCCTAGAATATTACTTTTTAGTTTGGGATATTCTCATTAGTCTTACAGTTTTTTGTTTTTGTTTTTGTTTTTTTTTGAGAGCTTTTTGCTACAGGGCGCGTGAACTCACCAGAAAGACAGAGAGACAGAAAGTGAGAAATCACCCCCCGGGGGGATGGCCACGCCACAATCCCTTCTCCTCCATTCTCCTCGGGATCTTGGGCACATACGCATCAGCACCTGGTGCTGAGTTTAAGCCACCGGGTCTGGGATTCGAACGGCAGTCAACTACATGGGAGTTCAGCAACATAGCCATTATGCTGTTGGTCCCAAGTCTTACAGTTCTTTATGAGAACTAAAATTTTTTGTTTGTGTTTAGCCTGATGATCTAAAAATTAAAATTTCTCTTGGAGTCATGACAAATTATGCACACATGCTATTTTTTAAAAATATTTCTAATGAAAAATAAAAGGAATCTATCAATGTTCTAATTCAAAAAGGAGATGTTGGAATTTCGTATTCTTGCCATTAATCTATCTTCTTCATAATAGAGGGATCAGATCAACTTATCCCAGCAAGAGAATCAGGTTATGTCTCTCAAATTTACTCTCGGAAAAAATCTTTCTCTAAATTCATTGTTGACAAGTTTTATTAATTTTTTTAAATTGTCAGAGAGTGTGTATAATAGCCAGGGAGGCCCAGAAAGGGGAGGCAGGGAGAAAGCCCCACTGTGGTCACACTCTCCTCTATCTCTTCATCCTGCTGGGATGTGGGGCACACAGGCACATGGGCCTGGCATAATTGTCAAGTCACTGGGGCTGGGACTTGAACTGTGGTTGGCAATGTGGGATCTGGCTTCCTTAACCACTAGGCTATAGGGCTGGCCAGGAGACTTTTTAAACAAAAGAAATCTCACAAACTGAGGGCTGAGTTAAGCAACAAAGGTAAGTGTTACCTAATCACTATTATCTTTAATGGAAAAGAAAATGAACTTGGTCAAAAGATTGATGGTGATTAATATCAGTCTCTTGGCGCATGGCCCTTCTTGTTCCTCTGGACTAGGCACCATCACTGCCCACCTGGACTATGCGCTATCAACATACTGTCATCTGGCTCCCACCGTGTGACAACTAGGTACTCCTTTACATCCTATCAGATCACAAGGAGGAGCCAGTTCAAACCTTATATGGAATCCTCATTTTTTTTTTTTTGCTAGAGGGTGCATATGTTAGAGAGAGAGAGAGAGAGGAAGGAAGAAAGGAAGGAAGGAAAGAAGGAAGGAAGGAAGAGAGGAAGAGAGAAAGAATGAACGAACATCCCCTTTGGGCTATGGGGATGGCTACATTCCAATCTCTTCCCCACCATTTCTCCTCTCAGGATTTTGGGCATGCACACACACACTCATCTGGCGTATTTTTCAAGCCACAGGGTCCAAAACTTACACCTCACAGCTCGCCATATGGGATCCAGCTCCCGTAACCATCATGCCTGGCTGACATCTTGTACAGTGGCTCCCGAGGGCCCACGCCATCAGGATCCTCCAGTTGTCTCACTTCGCTTGCTCAGGTCGCTCCTCCACACCATGTCAGGCATAATCTTGCTGCAGGTTTTTGCACTTGCTCGACCCTCCCTATGGAACTCTCTCCCCTCCTATATCTGCATGATCACTTCCTCCCTCCTGTACCAGCGCCCTTCTGCCACTGTAGCACATCACCACAGTTAGGGTATGAAACAACAAAATATATGAATTATCTTACAATTCTACAGGTTAGAAGTCCAAAATGGCTTTCACCGGGGTAAAAATCAAGGTGTTGGCCGGACTGACTTCCTCGTAGAGGCTCCAGGGGAAAACCCATTTCCTTGCTTTTCTCAGCTTTTAGAGGTCGTTGCATTCCCTGGCACATTGCCCCTTCCTTCAGTCTCAAAGCCAGTAGGAGCATCTCCAAGGCTCTCTTTGATCTCTGCTTCTGTTGTCCTAAGTCCTTTTCTAAGTGTCCTGCCTCTCTTTCCTTCATAAGGACCCTGTGCTTACATCAGGCCCGTCTGGATGGTCCAGGGTCATCTGAGCATTGCAGAGCCTTAATTTTTTTTTTTTTTTGGAGAGGTTTTTCGCTATAGGGCGCATGTGCTCACCAGACAGACAGAGAGAGACAGAGAGACAGAAAGCGAGAATCACCCCCCAGGGGGGATGGTCACGCCGCAATCCCTTCTCCTCCATTCTCCTCTCGGGATCTTGGGCACGCACGCACACGCGCCCGGTGTGAGTTTTAAGCCACCGAGTCCAGGACGTGAACCGCAGTCGACTACGTGGGAGTCCAGTGACATAGCTATTATGCTAACTGCTGGTCCCCTGCAGACAAATGCAGAGTCCCCTTGGCCAGAGATAGTAACATGTTGACATATCTGGGGTGGGGGGCATTATTTTGCTTACCACACCTTCCTTGCATCTCTACTCAGATGCTGGGTTCTCAGAAAGGCCCTCCCTGGCCACTTGCAGTGGATGCTGTAGGTGTCCCACCCATGTCCCTTCTCCCAGTCAGTGCAAACTCCCCAGCTGCCCCCCTGCCCCGTGCTGCTGTGCTGTTGGCTGATGCATTTCTGAGCTGAGCCTTCTCTAAGGAACTGCTTTGGCAAAAGTGGGGCTGCCTCACCCAGAGGTTACACCACAGATCACCACCAGGAACTGACGAACCCCCCGACTTGCTCCAGAAACCCCCTGGATCAGGCTCACGGGAGGCTCAGTTAAAACCACATCCTTGCTTAGTCCATTTCTCCTTCCATTCCTGCCTGCTCCTCCTCCTGAGATCCGCCCCCTTCTCAATAAACCACACTTGAACAAGAAGTCTCATCCCAGGTTCTGCTTCTAGGGGAACGTGAACCAACACTGCCCTGAACCTGATACCCCCTCACCTCCCTCCCTGCTTAATCATGCTCCAAGGTACTTATCACTCATCACACTATGTAGTTTACATTTTTATCTTATTATTTTGTCTCCTACTGCAATGTAAGTACCACAGGTCAGGAATTTTCATTGGTTTTTTAAAAAAAATTTATTTATTTCTCCTAGGAGCAAGAGAGACACAGTGATATAGAGATGACACCCCCATCAGGTTGGATGCCACGATCCAGCCGCACTCCAGCCAGCCCCAGTCATAGGCACTTAGGCTGGGCGTACTTAGGGAGGCCTTCAGCATGCGAAGCGGGAACGCTCCCGTGTGAGCCAGCCTCACAGCAGCACCAGCATCCAGCTCCCTTTATCACTTTTGTTCAGGGCTCTCTCCCCAGTAAAAGAAGCAAAGCTGGCTCATAGTCCTAACTAAATATCTGTCCAGTGCATAAATAGCTTTCCCTCAGGTCTTTAATTTAAGGCTTGACAGAGGCAGGATGTTTCTCCACATCTGTGGGCTAACACCTTCCCCGAATCAGAACTTCCCTGAGACTGCCGCATTGGCTGCCATGTCTAAGTTAGTG